GCTTGCAATTCTGGCAAACCTGCGCCAGATTGCGATCTGCGCTCCGTTTGCAATACTGGGCGCACCGGCGCCAGATTGCGCGGAATCGCGCTCGCATTGCAATTCCGCGCACCTGCGCCAGATTGCGCGGAATCGCGCTCGTCTAAAATCCTGGGCGCTCCTGCGCCAGATGCCTCGGATTCGGGCTCTGTTTGCAGCTTCGGGTGCCTGAGCCAGATTGCGCGAATTCGCGCACAGATTACGGTTCCAGACGCGTCTGCGCGGAAGTGCGTTCGACCCAGCACGCCTGCGCCAGATTGCGCGGAATCGCGCTCGCATTGCGATTGCGGCGCTCCTGCGCGGGAGGATTCGCGCCCTGACTGCAACATTGGGCGCGCAGGCGCCAGGTTGTATGGAATCGTGCTCCGATTGCAACTCGGCGGCTTGCACCAACCCGTAAATTTGCTGGGCAGCGGGAGCATACCTCTGGAGTCGCGAACGCACGAAGAACTGCCCGACGTGCGGGCCCACCGCGACTTGCGAGAATACAAAACACCAAACGACGTGCGGATAGGGTACTTCCCTGCGGAAACGAAACGGCCCCCGACTGGCGGAGCTATCCCAGAACTGCGGTGAACCATAATCACTACAAGACTTGCGGGCTGACCCCCTAACAGGATGGGACAAGACGCGGCCCGACCTGCGGGCACATGAACCCACCTGCGGCCACGCACGAAATGGTGCCCGACCTGCGGGTGTACCTCCCGATCTGCGCGAACGTACGCAAAAGCTGGTGCCCGACCTGCGGGTGCACCCTCCCGACCTGCGGGAATACGTGGCAGCAGCAACCGGCGCCCGACCTGCGGGTGCACGCCCCTGTCCCGCGGGGCCAGCGACACAGGAAGTCTGTCCCCACATCGGAACCTTCTGCCGGCTGGTTCGCTTGGCCAGCCACCGGCAGGAACCAGAATCACCGCCTTGGACACAGCTGCCGCGCCGTGGGCACGCCCTTTGGCGAAGGCGACGCTAGGCTTTCCCCTTCTGCGGGAGCCTTCTCCCGTGCCTTGCTGGACTCTTGCCCGAGCCGTTGACCAGTCAGCCAGCCAGGAGGAGGAAGGTGGAGGCGAGCGGGAGGTGAAGCCGCTCGGGCGTGTGAGCCGCACGCCCCCTCTTGGAGGCAACGAAGCATAGGGGAGTTGCGCTTGCAACCCACGGCGCACCACGGCGCATTTATAGAGAATTGCAAAGAAGCAAAGAGGCCAGAAGGCGAAGAGGCACCCATTTGGCACCGGTCACCTTTCGAGATTTTCCTGCCCCCCAAACCGCTGCGCGATTTAGGTGCTATGAAAATCTCCTGCAGGCTGCCCTCGCAGGAGCAAAGGGCAGCGACGTGAAGCCTGCTGCTGGGCTGGGCTCCTGGGCAAACGCACCAGGCCCAATGCGCCCAGGGCCCAGCACAGCAGCTGCCATGGCACGCCTGTGTCTGGAACGCAGGAGGCCCAATGCACAGACAAGGCGTTGTCTGGAGGATGCTTGGGCTGGCCAGCGCGACGCTTGGGCGAGCCCGCGCCTGAATGCGCGGAGTCGCGCTCCAATTGCAGATCAGGGCAAGCCTTCGCTCGAGGATTCGCTTCTCGATTGCGAAGCCCGGCGCATCTGCGCCCAAGTGTGCGGGATCGCTCTGATTGCGACTTCAAGCGCGCCTGCGCCCGAAAGTGCAGAATTGCCCCGAACGCAGTATCTGCCGCACCTGCGCCCGACAGCGCCGACGCGCGCTGCGATTACACCACTGGGCCTGCGCTCGAATGCGCAGAGTTGCGTCCCCATTCTGGTACCGGGCGCGCCTGCGCCCGAACAGACAGAATCGCGTTCCCATCACAATATGAACACACCTGCGCCCGAACATCCAGAACCACGCCACGAATGCGAAATTCGGCGCGCTTGCACCTGAGTGCCGCGTTGGAAAGGAGAGCCGGCGCGCCTGCGCCCGAATGTGCAAAATCGTACCCCGATCGGAATTCCAGACGCACCTGCTCCGGTTTAGGGTTCATTGCGATTCAGAATTCCAGAAGTACCTGCCCCTCGGATTCCCGATCGGATTCAAGGTCCGATTGCGGGTTCTGGCGCGCCTGCGCCAGCACGCGCGGCGCTTGCAGTCAAATTTACGGGATCGCGCTCCAATTCTTATATCAGAAGCACGTGATTGCGACTCCGGCCGCGCCTGCAGCCCAGTGTACGGAATCGCGCTCCAATTCCGATTCCGGACGCGTATGCGCCAGATCCGAATGTGATTCTTGGCGCGTCTGCGCCCGATGCTGGGCGCGCGTGCGCCTGAATGCACGTAGTCGCGTCCCGATTGGTATCTCCAGCGCGCTTGCGTCCCAGTCCGCAGACTCGCCCTGCCATTGCGAGAAGGCGCGCTCGCGTCCAAATGCGCCAACTCCCGCGCCAATCGCAATTCAGGACGCCCCTGCGCTCAAACGCGTAGGTTCGGGATCCGATTGCGGATGCAGGCGCGTCTGCGCCTGACTGCGCGGAATCACCCGAATCACGTTTCTATTGCGCTCCGAGCCGCTTGCGACCGACAGCGATTCTGCGTGAGCCCATGCGCCTGCGCGCCAGAATGCGCCGGATCGCGCTTCGATCGCAATTGCGAGCAGGCCTGCTTCGAAATATGCGAATGTGTGCTTCAATTGCGGCTTCTGGCACGCCTGTGCCCGTATGCTTGGCTCCGATTGCCGTTCTGGGCGCGCATGCGCCGAAATGCACGGAATCGCATTCCGAACGCGATTCCTGGCGCGCTTGCGTCTGAGTGCGCGGAATCGTGCTCCGATGGCGATTTCAGACGTGCCGCCAACCGAATGCGGTTTCCCGTGCTCCGATCGCAATTCCGGCCCCGCCTGCCCGAAGCTACGGAGGACGCCCCCCCCGCCCCCAGTCAAGCGCGACTACTGCCTCAGAAGCGAAGCGCATGCGCAGTTACCGCTCGACAGAGGGAGTAAGAGAAACAATGATGAGCGCCACTTTAAGCGATCATGGTCCAGTGGACCATTCCAGAGCAGTCGCATCACCGCTCCTGCACCAGATTGCACGGATTCGCGCTCCGTTTGCAATTTCATGATTCATAAACTCGTTTATGCTGCAGGAAAACCGTGAGGAGCAGCCCCACGTGCGTTCGCCTCCACTCCTCAATTCCTGCACGCTCAATGTGTACTCTGGCGCGGTCTCGCATGGCGGTTCGCCCGCGCTGCTCGGGTCTCGTCTGCTGGGCCGATCGTGTCTCGCAGTTCTTCTGTTGCTGCTCCCGCGCGCTGGCTCCTTGAAGCCAGATCGAGAATGCTCCCTGATAAAAGCAGCGGCAAAAAAACTTCTGACAGGGGCTGCACAAACAAGACAGGCTCCCTGAGAGGAGCGGCGCCTCCGAAGCTCCCTGAAAGGAGCTGCGCCCGCGTGCTCCTGAAAGGAGCCAGCGGTGCCTAGCGCTCCCTGAAAAGAGCTGCGCCTGCGTTCTCCCCGACAGGAGCGGCGCCCAAAAGCTCCCTTTCGCGCGTTCCCTGACAGGAGCAGCGGCCGAAAACTCCCTGACGGGAGCGGCGCCTCAAAGCTCCCTGATAGGAGCGGCGCTTCAAAGCTCCCTGACAGGAGCGGCCCCCCAGAACAGAAGTTCGCCGAAGGGGGCTGCGCCCAATGCTCCCTGGAAGGAGCTGCGCCTGTGCGCTCCTCGACAGGAGCGCTGCCCACCAGAGCTCCTTCCTGTGCTCCCTGACAGGAGCAGCACCCCCAGGCTCCCTGAAAGGAGCTGCGCTTGTGTGCTCCCAGACAGGAGCGGCGCCCCCGAAGCTCTATAGCAGGAGTCGCGCCTGCGTGCCTCCTGGGGCGGCTCCGTGGCGCTGCGCCGGCGCGCTCCCCAGCAACAGCCTGGCGGTTGTCTGCCAATTTTCTGCGTATTCCGGCCGCGCCTAGATTTCAGCGCTGAAACTGTCAGTGCGTGGAAGGCGGATGGCAGTTTGTGCCATTTGGGCCTCGCGAATGTTGTGCTTCGCACAATTGGGGTTTTCGGGGTCGGATGTGTGCAGGCGGCAGAAGCTTTGATGGGGGGGCATTGGCTAACCCCCCACCTGCACACAACGGGGGCGGGTGTGTTTGCCCGCCCCCGACCGACCCCGAGACCCTGCGTCCAATGGCGCACGTGGTCTAAAAAGTCCATGCTGACGCCTTTTCACTAGCGTACTCAGAATTCAATTCTGGTGCGGCTCGTGGAAATCTGGCCCAGGAGGCTAGAAATTGACGCAGATCCCGGCGGGATTTTATCCATGTCGGATTTCGCAAGTCGGCCGTCCAGGTCGGATGATCTCTCAAGACTGGCTCTAATCAGCCATTCTGCGGAGCTGCAGTCCACCGCCGAGGGCTGCAAGTAGCGGAGAACGTGCGTAAGCCTTCCCGCGAACCGCCCAGGAGGACAGCATCGCCCAAAACGGGCGCTCTACCATCCATCAATCAGTTACCCTCCATCCTCTCTCGTTGACTTGACAGCGAATGTGTGGCGCAGCTGTGGCCGTGAACTGGAATAAATAAAGATCCCAGACAGGTCGTAGCAGACGCGTGCCCGCGGATTGATGTGGGCGCAGCCGCAGATGCAAATACTGAGCGGAGATGCTCAGTTCGATGGTGGGGTTTCCCTGTCGTCTGTACTGCCGCGCCCCTATGACGCCCTCTGCTGGCCTGGATGGTGTATTCAGGTCGCAGAGGGGGATAGGGGGCGGAAGGGTTCTTCTGCTCTTTCCATAAACAGCAACTCGCCTCCAGCGCCGGTCACGTGTCGTGCGCCGCGGGCGCGCAGCCATTTCTGGCAAGTGCTTTCACATGAAGATATTCAGTCGGAAGGACTGGCCATTGCTGGAGAGTTTGGTCATTACCTGCCGCCTTTTAGGCTCAAGTGAACCACTCCTGCTGGGATTGAAATCCTTCTTCGCACTGCAGCGTGCTCCACAAGTGTACGTTGCAATCCAGCCGTGCCCACCATGGCTTTCTCTTCCGGCGACGTCTCTGCCATGGTTGCCACTGCGCCGAGCGGGGCCTTCAACAAGGCCAGCGCTGACCAGATCCGCGATTGGGTCGACTTCGTGCTGAATGTCGAGCCCAACGCGGCGGAGAAACACGACCTGTTCTACTACGTGTCGGTGGCTCGCCTCTTGGCGGAAACGATTGGCAGCACCTCGCTCTCGGATTTCGAGGATCCACACATGCGCGAGATGATTAAAGCAGCGATTGTTGTGAACGATTTGCCTTACGCCGCAGAGCAGGATCCAGCATGGAAAGCCTGGAAGGTTTCGCCGGCACAGGTCGTCTTCGCACTCAAGGTGCAGACCAAGTGCGCCCAAGCTGCACCACCCGCCCGCTCGGCTCCAGAAGCCGACACTGGGTCGAGCGACGTGGCAGGAATGGGCGAAGCTGTGAAACAGCTCGCAGAACTACAGACCCAGGCGCTCCAGAAGGGCAAGCCGAAGGGACTCAGCTTCAAGCTTCAAAACAGGATCGTTGAAGTGGGCTTGCAGAATTTCGATAAAGACACCCTCCCGTCCGAGGAAATCTTGGCGAAGTTCGAGGCCGGAGCCAAGATCGCCAACGACAAGGGCCGGGCTTGGATCGGCTCTGCAGAAGGCGAAGATCTCCGCGATCATCACCGCCCAGCATGGAATCGCACCCCTCTCGTCGACGCGGTCGTGGGCGACGGCTCCTACGAGGATCGCGTGAGACAGAGTGCGGCCGCCAAGCGCGGAAGCGCTTGGATCGATAAGATCGATTACGTGAGCTTCGCGACCTTCATGGGGCATCTCCACGAGTGGGGTTTCAAGGTGATCCTCACGAAGGCGCGCAGCATGGCGGACTTTTTCTCCTACGTGCATATTATGATCCGCATCGCTGAGGAGAACGGCGGGGTCAGGACGGCGTTTCAATACGACGTCCTCCAGCGGAGAGCCACGGCCAAAGCGCTGGAGAGGGACGAAACCGACTTGAGCAGGCACCGTACAAGGATCGATGTTGATCTCTTGCGCACGGCCAAAGACGGTGGATAAGCGCTTCGCGGAGCTCGCTCGTGTATCTGGCGCGCGCAAGGGTCAGTCCAAGGGCCAGCCCAGGGGCGCCTCCAAGAGCTACGGCGACGGGGGCAGTCATGCCTCCAGCAGCGCATCCTCCGGAGGCAAGGGCGGCAAGAGCGCTAAGGGCGACAACAGGCGCGTGCGTTCGCCGCCCGCGCGGCACAAGGGCAGCGCCGGTGGCGGCCAGCAGCATCGGTCGCGCAGCCCGCGCGCTGGATGGCAGCAGTCCGGCCAGTGGGACAAGCAGTCCTGGAGCAAGTGAGCGGCCACGCCGCTCGCCGACAGTGCCGACGGTCAGCAGTCGGAGAGCGAGTCAGGGGACGATGAGCCCATGGAGCGCTCTTCGGCTCGTCCCAGCGCTGATTTTAAGCATTCTAAAGCTGGGCTGTCACATGTCGGTGCGCGTGTACATAGCTTTCTCGCTCGCGATGATTTGCATCGCCTAGATCCATGGGATCACTTGGAGTGGGCGTCGGCCTTGCCTGTTTGCGCAGAAGTTCTTCTTTTGCCGCGCTTTTTGGAAAAAGGCTGCGACCGCGTGACAAGATTGACCCCTGCGGAATTGCACTCGGCGGAAGTCCGATTGGAATTGTCTGATTGGCAATATGTGGCTTCTCGTCGCCGACAAGGCGCATTTCCTGCATCTTTGGCATGTGCCTTCGCATTTGAATCTCGCAGATGCCCCCACGCGGCCGTCTGAGAAGGCAGAGCAAATTGCCGAGCTGCAGGCGCGAAATTTTCAACGCGTTGAGTGGCTGTTTCCGCCGGATGCACCCTGGCAGGCGAGCGATGTGAACTCGGTTTTCGCTCGCGTGCTGCAGGGCGTGGCTGGCGTGAATATGGTTGATATCTCTAGTCTTTGCGAAGCTCTGGAGAACGGCGGCTTCCAGCATTTGTCTGATTTGGGCGGTTTGGAAGCAAATGAATTGGTAGATCTCGCCCCTGCGTTTTCTGGACAGAACGTTGCGCTCGTCAAAGCCTTCTTGGCGCAGCGTCAGCGCCAGGCCGACCGGGAGTTAGCGGCCGCGGCGTGCCGACAGGCAACGCGCACCGAGGCTGCCTCGCCCTCTTCAGGGGCTGGGGCAGAGGCACAAACCCGAGTTGCGAGCCAAAGCGATCCACGTGAGGCAACCGACGACGAGCAAGGTCGTGCTGGCTTGATCTTGCTTGGTGAATCGCGCCGTGCTCGCGTTGTTCCCGAACCTCCTGTGCTAGCAGCCGCGCTGGCGGCCGCCGCCCGCTGCAATTGCTATCCAGGGGCGGAGCCAATTGGCAGGCCCCGTGAAGAAGTCAAACGTGCACGTCGCGATGTTCCTGGCGGAGATCATCTCCATCTCCACACTCTGTGGGTCGAGTTCGCTGCCTGGCGAAAAAGTTCTCCACAATACGCTTCCGCCGTCCGCTTGTGGGGCGGAGCTGCCAGGGCCATTTCGGCGCCCAGCTGGCCACCGTCCGAATCTGTTCTCAATGCCTTTGTGGGGTTATTCCGTAATGGGAACAGTCTGCAGAAATATGTTTCTCATGTTCGCAGTGTGCTCTACCTATTGCAGGCCCTCTCGGTGTTCTCGACGACATAGAAAGGCTGGCCAGAGGTGCCGAGAAAAGTACCCGAGACGTACTCAGGAGAGTGAAGATCCGGGCGACGGCGGAAGAAACCAAACTCATCCGCAAGTGGTGCGCTGAAGCTGGATATCCGCTGTTGGCGGCGTCGTGGGTGATCGCTCGCGAATGTTGTTTGCGTTGCTCTGAGTTGCTGCTCCTAGGGTCAAATGTTGTGACATTCCGCTTCAGCGGCGATGAACGCAAAACCTATGTCATTCGTTTCGCGCAGCGCAAATGTTACAACGAACAGACGTTGTATTTGTCAGCTGCAAGGGCGCTCCTTGTGTGGTGTCTGCGAATTATTCTCTGTAGGAGCAGCAGTGGCAGTCTCCTTCGCGAGCGTGCAATATGCCGACGCTTTTGCTGTTCTCAGACTTGCAGCAGCCGCTTTGCAGTTGCGAAGTGCTGCGGCCTGGGGCACGCACGCTTTCAGGCGAGGCTTTGCCGACGAGGCGCTCCAACAAGGAGGGCCCTTTGTTTTTTAGTGGTGGTTGGAAGGGCGCGGCGGCTTTCGGTTACGTCAGCGCCCAAAGTCGCGGTGCTTTGTCGGCGGCCGAATGGTTAGTTCACCACTCCGACTCAAGTGACGGCGAGCAAGCCTGATTGTGGCATCGTGTGCGTGGGGTTGTAAAACCAATAGGAACAGGAAGCGGTCCTCACGATGTACCCCTTTCAGGCGCTGTCGCGCAGTCCGTCGCCTTCTGGTGCGTTGGGAGCCCAAGGGGCGGGTTCCCAGAAGGCTCCTGCCAGCCAGGCAGCGCCGTTCACACGCCCTATGCTGGCGCAAGGACGCCGGCCATTCTACAGTGGGCCTGGCTACCGCAATGGTTTTCATGATTCATAAACTCGTTTATGCTGCAGGAAAACCGTGGGGAGCAGCCCCACGTGTGTTCGCCTCCACTCCTCAATTCCTGCACGCTCAATGCCTGCGCAGCGGGCTGCGGTGTCGGCGGCCGGCGGTTTCTGCGCGAAGCGGCGGAAGTATGCTCACCTTGCTCTGTTCGTGTGTACTCTGGTGCGGTCTCGCATGGCGGTTCGCCCGCGCTGCTCGGGTCTCGTCTGCTGGGCCGATCGTGTCTCGCAGTTCTTCTGTTGCTGCTCCCGCGCGCTGGCTCCTTGAAGCCAGATCGAGAATGCCCCCTGATAAGAACAGCGGCAAAAAAATCGCTGACAGGGGCTACACAAACAAGACAGGCTCCCTGACAGGAGCGGCGCCTCCGAAGCTCCCTGAAAGGAGCTGCGCCTGCGTGCTCCCTGATAGGAGCCAGCGGTGCCTAGCGCTCCCTGAAAGGAGCTGCGCCTGCGTTCTCCCCGACAGGAGCGGCGCCCTAAAGCTCTCTTTCGCGTGTTCCCTGACAGGAGCAGCGGCCGAAAACTCCTTGACGGGAGCGGCGCTTCAAAGCTCCCTGATAGGAGCGGCGCTTCAAAGCTCCCTGACAGGAGCGGCCCCCCAGAACAGAAGATCGCCGAAGGGGGCGGCGCCCAATGCTCCCTGAAAGGAGCTGCGCCTGTGCGCTCCTCGACAGGAGCGCTGCCCACCAGAGCTCCCCCCTGTGCTCCCTGACAGGAGCAGCACCCCCAGGCTCCCTGAAAGGAGCTGCGCTTGTGTGCTCCCAGACAGGAGCGGCGCCCCCGAAGCTCTATAGCAGGAGTCGCGCCTGCGCGCCTCCTGGGGCGGCTCCGTGGCGCTGCGCCGGCGCGCTCCCCAGCAACAGCCTGGCGGTTGTCTGCCAATTTTCTGCCCGCCCTCATGCCGCCCCATGGCCCGCGCCGGCGTCCTGCCCTGGCTGGGAGCCCAAGGGGCGGGTTCCCAGAAGGCTCCTGCCAGCCAGGCAGCGCCGTTCACACGCCCTATGCTGGCGCAAGGACGCCGGCCATTCTACAGTGGGCCTGGCTACCGCAATGGTTTTCTGGGCGCTTCTGCGCCAGATTGCGCGAATGCGCGCATCGATTCCAGTTCCTGGCGCGCCGGCGCCAGATACCCCAGAATGGCGCACGCATCGCAATCCTAGGCGCGCCTGCGCCAGATTGCGCGGATTCGCGCTCTGCTTGTAATTCTGGGCGCACCTGCGCCAGCTGGCGCAGATTCGCGCATCGTTTGCAATGCCAGACGCGCCCGCGCCAGATTGCGCGGAAACGCGCTCGCGTTGCCATTCTGGGCGCATCTGCGCCAGATTGGGCGGAATCGCGTTCGGTTGCAATATGAGTCCCAGATTGCGCGGATTCGCGCTTTGCTTACATCTGCGGGCGCTGCTGCGCGAGAATGCGCGAATTCGCGCTCGGACCGCGATCCTAGACGCGTCTGCGCCAGATTGCGCGGAAACGCGCAATACCCAGCGCGCCTGCGCCAGATTGCACGGAATCGCGCTCGCATTGCAATTCCGCGCGCGCCTGCGCCAATTTCGCGGATTCGCGCTCCGCTTGCAATCCTGGGCAGGATGGCGCGGATCCGCGCGCCGATTGCAATTCCAGGCGCGCCTGCGCCAGATTGCGCGGAATCGCGCTCCGTTTTGCACTTCAGAACGCATCTGCGCCAGATTGCGCGAATGTGCGCGACGATTGCAATTGCAGGCGCCTCCGCGCCAGATTGCGCAGAATCGCGCACGCATTGCAATTCTTGGGCGCCTGCGCCAGATTGCGCGGAAGGCTCCGCTTGAATTTCTGGGCGCACATGCGCCAGATGTCGCGGATTCGCGCACCGATTGCAATCCCAAGCGCGCGCCCGCGCCAGATAGCGCGGAATCGCGCTCGCATTAAAGTTCCGGGCGAGCTTGCACCAGATTGCGCAGAACCGCGTTCGTTTGCAAGCCTGGGCCCGATTGCGCGGATTCGCGCCCCTTTGCCAGTTCGGGCGCTGCTGCGCCAGATTGCGCGAATACACGCACAGATTGCGATTTCAGACGCGTCTGCGCCAGATTGCGCGGAACCGCGCTCGCATTGCAGTTCCGGGCGCGCCAGCGCCAGACTGCGCGGTTTCACACTCGGCTTGCCCGCGCCCGCGCTTGGCCAGGCGCAATTGCATTTTGGATCGGTCGGGAGAAGCTCGAGAAGTGGATCCGTTGTATAGATGGCGCCTTAGAGGCCAATTCCCTTCGGCCAGCTGAAGCCAAGCGTTTGGCAGGTCGGCTCAGCTGGGGCGGCTCGATAGTATTAGGCCGTGGGGCCAGAGCTTATCTAGCTGCTTTGCATTGGCAAGCTAACAGCAGGAGTGCGAGGATTCCGAGGCGCGTCCGGAATGCACTCCTGTGGTGGCGGCGTTTTCTGGGATCCTGCCCAGCGCGCGTGGTCCAGCTGCATCCACGTGAGGTGCAGCGGTGTTTCGTTTACACCTACGCCGCTGGCGATGGGAAGATTGCGTTTGTGCTTTCTCATCCGGCTTTGCGCGTTTGGTCTGCTGCCGCAGTGCCCACGGTTGCGAAACGATGGGCCCGACCGCGCCGTACGCAGATCTCCCTGTGGGAATTAGTGGCGGCCGTGTGTAGTCTGCAGTTCCTCCTTGAGCATGGGCTCAAGGATTGCGAAACCATTCTGTTCATTGACAGCAACGTCGCGCTCCATACCCTTGTCCGGGGCGCGAGCCGGCAACACGATTACAACGAGATTGTCAATGACTTTTGGTTCACTGTAGCCGCTGCAGGCGTCCTGCTGCACGCAGCGCGC